TTTTTTTTTTTGTTTCTTGAAAGGACAGCCAGCGACAAATGGGAAACAAATGTTGAGCGGAGTTGTGTCTGCAGGATACTCAGGGTACTGGACCTGGAAAGCAGGACCTGGAAACAAAGGATTAAGATATCCTCTTCCATCGTGGTAGACGAAGATGTCCTCCGGCGACTCCACGTTGACGTCGATCCCTTTGGTACGCTGAGGTTTTCTTCACTGGCTGTGTCTAACCTTACTTCACTACGAGAATATCTCACCTGTATCGCTAGAGAGACCGAGGTGGCGGTACACACGTTGCACTGACGATGAACACATCGAGGATGCTCTTCTTTTTTTTTTTTCTTTTTCTTTTTTTTTTTTTTACATAGGTGCAACTCGATCTCTCGTAGAGAAAAACATTCATTGCCGCACCACCACCTCTTTCATAATACTTTTCTGGCGTCGACGTACCGGAACAACGATCATTAGATCATTATCCTTATTCATCACGTCTTAAATTGTACAATTCATTCTGCTAATAATGTAAACAGAGATGATATATAAAACAGAGATTAAAATGTGATAAAAAGTAATGTGATAAATGGAAAAAAAAAGATTTCAAAAATGTTTCATCAATTTATTAAAATTAATGGTCGGTTCGTTAAAACCAGCGCGTCGCCGCCAGAGGCAACAGAGTAACAGAGTAACAAACATGATGGGAGGTGTCGCGATGACGGCAATTCGACTATTCCCCTTAGTCTCACTTGATCACCTTCAAGACACCAAGGCTAAGAAAGGTCAATTACAGGAGGAACGAGTGTAACACAAAAAACGAGTTGTGAGTCAAAAGGGGTATTGTTTTTTGGTGGTGAGGTGTTCGAAAAGGGTCTCTTTTCTTCTTCAATGTCGGGGCCCAGAGGGTTGTTTGCGTTCAAAAATTCTACACCGGCGACATAATACACAATAAGTCGAGGTTTGATCTGACAAATATTAAACGTCAGATCCAGAGAAGGAAAGAAACTAGAAGTTAAAAGGTTTTTTTGGGGGGTGGGGGCGTTGGTGGTGATATGTCGCGATATATTCGCAAAACGTAGCCGGGACGAGTTTGACATGTACCGACAGGAATAATGGAAAAATTCTCAGAACAATTTTTTCTTCCTTAAACGGAGAGAAAAAAACGAATCAGATATAAGAAACGTTGGATGATCGATGAAAGATTGGTCTATACATGTTCAGATATAAATATAGTATGTATATGTATATGTGGTGATATCTATTCAAGTGAAAAACTTATGGCTTTTATTATCAGTTTATACTCAAATCAAGCATTTATTCATGTATTTTTCAATGAATTTATTTAGCATATTATCGTTAGAAAAATATTATTTTATATTTAGCAAATGAAAAAAATTGTACAGAATATATGATCTTTACTCTGATCTTAATTTTCAGGACAACATGTCCTATGTTGGAATTTTCTCACTAACAATAAGATTTATTAAAAATTTATACAGTAGCTATTTCTCATTTTATTTTTATATTAAATCTTTTTAATCATATAAAAGTACTACTAAATGATAATAAATATAATACATTTAGACTGAATTTATTAATATATAAATACTGTTTGCAGATATTGTATTACAAATAAAATATTCAATTAATAAATGTTCAATAACTGAACATGATGTAATATATTATATATAAATATTCATATGTATTCAATATTAAGAAATACTTTTGAAAGAACAATATAAACCAATCTTAAATTCAATCCAAATTATAACAATATGAATTCCATTTAATGAATTCATTAAAACGATCCAACGTTCCCCGTGAATCATTGTTTTCCTTTCAACATGGTGGGCAAATCGAAGTGACATCTAGAATTCTAGAGTCATGGTACTCACCTCATACTGATGAGATACTGTGCCAATGACACAGCGTCCGGATTTCCAGTAATGGTGATTGTACGGTCCGTGGCGCCACCCTCCCTCTCCTCACAGTTGCTAATTCTGATCATGGCACCGGAGATTTGACGAATCTCAGCGATCTTGGTGCCACCTTTGCCGATGATACAACCGATCAGCTCGTTTGGCACGGTCATCTCGTGCGTCTGATTGTTCGCTGCTGGTTGTTGCCTATTCGTATTGCTGGTACGTAGTTGACTACCAGCAAGCGCTGCTAATGCTGTAAAAATATGATAAATATTTTATATATTTGAACAATATGAAAATTATCGTGTTTTTCTATCTCTCTTTAGAATAACTTTGAATAATATTTTCATTTTTGTTTAAATTGATTTTTATATTAAATTTTGTAGATTTGTGATAATAAAAAGAAATGTTTAGGAAGTTGTATAGGAATATTTTAGTATAACTTAAATTTTTAACTTTCATGAAACAATATCTTATAATATTTCTTTGTAAAGAATAAATCTTTTGATTTACTCCAATATATGTGTAAAAATTAAATTATAATTGTATTTTCTTTATTAATAAAGAAACATATTTTAACAAAGATTAACATAGTAGGAAAAGAAAGTAGAATGATGGTGAAACTAAAAATGAAAATATTTTTAAATATTGAAACAGATAAGAATAACAAAATTAGAATAGAAAAGAGATTGGATTATGCATTTCTTACTTTAAAACATATCATATATAAAATGAAATTTTAGATAAGTCTAAATGTAACTAATTATAGAATTATTTTCATTTATTCATTCTTGTTCACTTTCATTGATAAAAATTCATTTATTTTAATTGTTTCTTTTACCTATATTTATGAGAAAAAGTATTCAATTTTTGCTATTCTTATAAAAAATTAACTTAAATTTAAATTTATTATGAATTATTAATTAACTAAAAAAGTTATATCCTTATTTGTATAATATTCTATAGATTATATAATTCTATAAATTGTATAATACTATTCTATAGATAGTGTTAAGAAATTGGATGTATGTTGGATCATATATTTAATGTATTTTACACAAACATTTATGTTTAATTTTGTTCAATTACAGTGAATTCATAAAAAAATTCTCATAAGATTCCTGGATGAAAGTTTATTGTTCAATTTCTATTTTTTTTTTTAAGTTCTTTTTTTCTCTGAATTTAAAACAATATTTAAAACAGTTAAACTTGAATTGGTAACAGTTTTAAATCGGAATAATTATTCCAGATGCAAAAATAGAAAATTTTTGAAGAATTTCTAATTTTCTAAAATCACGATTTTTATAAAATCAATATTTATAATTTTTTTCTTGTTAAGAAAAGTAGGAGTACATTATTTTTCTTTTAACCGAAACAAGAAAATCTTCTAGATTACTTAATAACTCAACGTCACATGAGCAACATTTTAATATTACCCTATAATTCACATACCTGCAGGGTTTAATCCGCCAGTGTTGGCAGGAGTGGCAAGGCCTCCGAGGCCAAGAGCAGCGAGCCCAGCCAATGGATTGCTACCAAGTTTGCCCATCTGTAACAACGACGAACAAAATCCAACGCTCAACAAAAACACGTGTTGCCGGTTGAGGTTAATCAGTTAAAGAAGTGCTTTTGATCAAAGGGGTATATACGAAGACACCGATATAAAATAATATCTAAAAAAGGAAAGTATCAATCTGCCTGCTTTCCTCGCGCGTCTCACATTCGAGGATCGTCGATTAAACAAGAAAAAAAAAAAATAATAATAAAAATATGAGTCTGTATAATTACTAAAAAAGAAGAAAAAACAATGATAGAAATAAAATAAAATAAGTATATACGACAAGGTATATCATTCTTTGGATAAAATTGTAAAAGAAAGAAAAAAAGACAGACAGAGAAAGAGAGAGACAGAGAGAGAGAGAGAATAAAGAATTCTCTATATTGATCCATTGTCAATGATCCATCGATCGTCTTCGATTTTACAGTCAATTTTTAAAAGTCTGTTTCCATGGTCTCTTCGATCTTCGACCAATAGGATGTCCCGACTTCCTGAGACTTGATACCAAAAAAAAAAAAAAAAAAGAAAATTCCTTGTCTTTTGCGTCACGTTTTTTTTTTTTTACAATTTCTTGATACTTTTTTTTTTCTTTTCATCGTCGTTATGCTCATTCAAGTCCACGCATAGTGATATACTCTCACACGACAACCACACGCAAAGAAAAACTAAAAATACGATAAAATTATTCGAAGAAACGAAATGCACGATGATACGTATGTACGATGACAAAACGAAACTAAACGAATTAACGTTGAAATTTAAAACACATGATCTCGTTTGAATTTCCCGCCAATTGGGTGTGTAGTTTGAAAAATTGTCCAGCGTAATTATTCGTGGCTCTTATTGGACGAATTTAACAAAAATAAAATATATTTTGAATCAATGAATGAATTGAATTTTGTTTTATTGTTTTTTTTTTTTTTTTTTTTTTAAGAAATTGATTTAAAAAGAGAGACAGAGAAGAAGAAAAGAATTTTTAATAATTAAATAAATCGAATGTTAATAATAATCGATCTAATGAAAGATGATTTCTCGAAATAAAGAAGAAATTAAATGAACCCTCTGTAACTGGAGACAGATTATGATTCATTAGAGAAAGAATAATAATTGATAATTCAATAAGTAGATTTGATTTATTTATTAAATAAAATTTAATTTTCGAATAAATCTATAGTTTCTGCGATATAATTATCTTAAAAATATTTTTATTATATATTTCAACTATAGAAATAGATTGTGATTAAAGATTAGAGAAAAATAATTAAATAAATTATTTATTTCAAACTTTTTAAACGATTAAAATATATTTTAATATAATCAGTATATAAATTGAAAAATAAATAAATGCTTTAGATAGATAGGAATTTTTATATATATGGGAAAAAAGAAAAAAAAAATAATTTTACTACTCGATAAATATACTTCTACTAAAATAATATAACTTTATATCTCTATGAATGCTACTAATTAATGAAATTTAAATTCATTTCACTTTCTAAATATCTTTTTATAAATGATTATTTATAACATAATTGAATAAATATAATAAGAAATTAAAATAAAATAATTAAAAAATACAAATACATATATATATATATTAGTTTCATTAAGATATATACTTTCTGAAAAAAAAAAATATATAATTTGAGAGATGATTATTATACAAATTTTCGTGATATAAAAAAGTTTATAAATATACCATGCAATTTCTCAATCAAATATTGTTACAGAGGGTTTCAAGAAATACAAATAACTGAAATAAAAAGAATATACAACTACTGTTCACTAATGATAGAAGAATACATCGATATTTTTCGAAGATTCTTCTCTATTACACAAGGTGATTCAATAATACATGTCGATATTTCAGAGAATATGAAATAAGTAAAAAATAAATACTAACATACACATGAAAAATAATAAAACTTTAAATTTTAAATTTCAAATTTTGCATTCTTTCTCGTAGAATACACATTTTATTTATTTACACAATAGATTTTAAATATTCCAGAAAGATCTAATGCATTAAAATCAAGGACATCAAGATGGTCAACTTCATTATATTCACACTATTGGATTTACCAAAATAATACAACAACATTAATGCATTTAATTATTAAACTGCTAGATATTTCTTTATTTATTCAAAATTTGAATATACAAAAATATACACGATGCAAGTTCCGTTTCATTGATTATATTCATACAAATTTGATTTTGCATAAAAATGAACTGTCCATTAATCAAAACTCGAAAAAACTAGAAAATTAAAATAGTAAGACATATATTGTTCATGTGACATTTTTATTTACTCTAGCGTATATACTCTATATATTCATTTATATTATTCATGTATATTTTCTCTGAAGTATCGATATCTATTTCACTCTATCAATACTAGCAAATTATGAATAAGTTACATATAGTACAGTACGATATTCTGGAATTTGCTTTGCGCTATTAGGGACCGGAAGCCGAGGAATCCAGGACATTTTGCGACCCAGTCGAAGAATACGTCTACAATGTACAACATTACATGTCGAATCGAATTCGATTCTTGCCGTAAAAATTCTCTGAAATTAATCGAGACTAGTCGACTAGTGATATTTGAAAACGAAAATTATTATTGTTAGGGACGAACGACCTCGAGGGAAATGGATCATAGAAAGATAGAAAGAGAATGATTGAATGAGGAGAAAAGAAAACGTTACGATGTTGCATGCATCTACGTATCTTTTCCAACTTTGGAGATAATTTTCTTTTCTTTACAATGATTCACTTTTTGTATGTTATGTATAATAAATAATATTTGTTATTGATATTCGACTGATTTCAAACAAATTAAATGGGTGGAATCAATGAAAATGGTTCGTGTTTTGAATATGTTTTAAATATAGAACGGTTAATTTGAAATGAATTAAATGTGAACGAAGTGTCTCCTTGATTTTGAAGGAAATTATGAATGTACAAATAATTGATGAAATTTTGTTAAATTTTTTATATATTTTTATATTATCCTTGTAGTTAACTTCGTTCGTTTCTTTAAGAATAGAATTTTAATAATTTATATTGATAATTTGTTCAAAATGGTGTAAGAAATTAATATTGAAATTGATTCATTTATTATTATAGATTTATAGAAATCTCAAAAGATGTGAACATGTCCTTATGTTACTTTGTTTCAATTAATAATTTTCATCACTTTTGAAAACAGATCAAGATAAATTTATTTCGTTTTAAATAGAAATTACATTCGATATTGAAGTTTCAAAGTTGGAATCAGTCGACTTATTTTTCTATTTATACTGTTCGTATATTAATTACTAAGAACACTTGGCCGGGCAGAATTATTAGCACGATCGATGAGTTTGCTCAAGTTGCTTCGAAACTTTAACAGTTTATAACTTCTCGAAAAAAACTTAACGAATTTTCATAAAGTTTTTGGTATACTGCGAATAAGTAGTTTAGCCATTTGGGCAAACTTGTAACTTCGTTCGAAAAATATCTTGAAAAATTTAGACATAGTAATTGATTTTAATGAGTGATTGATTGATTAAACAAATTTTATTAAATAAGAAATTAAAGTTAGATTTTTATTAAAACTTTTATCATTGTTATTTTCATTTTCAATTATTAATGAATAATTAATATATTTGTTCATAATTTATATTTTTTCAAAATTTTTAATAAATAAAAAGATTTATTAAGAATTCATTAATTTTGAATTTACTTTCGACTGGATAAACTAATAAACTAAATTAAACTATATTTAATAGTATAAATTTTTAAAAAAGAATTTTCTAAAAAACTTTATGATAATATTTTTATGATAAAAATGTAGATCATTGAATTATAAGAATTTAAAAAAAATATAAATTCTTAATAAATGTTTTAATCAATTTTTAACCCCTTATAATTTAATTTGTGTTTAGAGAGAAAATAATAGTCTTGAAATAATTTTTGTTGAATAAATATTTTGAAATGAGAATTAGAAATTATTATAAAAAACATATCTTTAATAAGTTATATAATTTTTAAGAAAATATGAAAATAGAAGATTACTTTAAATTTTAATGAAAAAATCAAATAAGATTTAACAAATGAAAACGTATATATATATATATATGAATATAATAAAAATCGAAAATCATATAATATTATAAGAAGTTAAGAATTTTGTAAAAATATAAATAAATTTTCACGAGTATGTATGATATTAATATGTGTACTTAAGAATATATATTAATAATATTAATTATAGAATTATATAAAATAATTCGTATTATAGAATTTATTAGATCTTATAAAATAAAATTTTTTGAAAATTAGATAAAAATTTTTTTTTATAATTCTTCACTGTTATTTTTCTGTTTCTACTTTACCGTACGAGGATAAAAAAAGTCCCGCTCATTACGCACGCGGTTTAATTTCGAAATCGTTCGGATTCCAATTCGCCAGCGAACTCATCGACCGTTCCGCAAACCGACAAAACAGTAAAACTACTACACAAACATTATCTCTCGTCGGAATGTAGCGAATCAATGTAAAACCCGGTAATTACAACGGAATTTCTCCATGTCCGAGTTCGACGGATAAAACAGAAAAATTGCAATATCTAATTTCTACTAGATTCTAAAATTTGTATACGTAAATGCATACTCATAATAAAATGTACACGTGTAATACAGAATGTTAATATATTCGTGGAATATTTTTAAACATCTCTAAAGAGATTCAGAGATCAAAATAAATGCAAAACTTGGTATACGAAACTATCGATTGAGACTTATTTATTAAATTATAAGCAATTTAACTTTGCATTTGACGAAGCAAGACGTAGATAGAATGAGACGACTCGTCGCGACGATATGATGATAGACTAATCTCACTCTTTTTTCTTCCCTTCATTTATTGCAAACTTAAATTGTTTACAACTTAATCTTTTGTCCTATATAATATCGAATCAAACAATAACTCGATTATATATTCGATATGATATCGCGAATTTTGTGTCAAATATTAAAAAGACAAATTATAATTTATTAATTTTTATTTTTTTAATGCATATTTTTTTTATTTTGAAATTTTTTGTTGTCATCTTATTTAATAAAAAAAAGTATTTAAATAATTTAAAGTTTCTTGTCTTTAGGAATAAAATTATTACAAAATTATATTTATAGACGAGTTATATTTTTTTATTATACTTATTTGTTATATTTATTTGTAAATTATATTATTATATAAAATTTATGAAAAAATATCTAAGAAAAGTTCACATTTGACTATTATAAAAGATCTTGTATAAAATCGACCAAAAGAGATTAAATATATCATCAAATGCTTTTTTTTGTCCCATCATACTAATTTTTTTCGATTTCAGTATGACACGCTATGATGAATTAATTTTTAAGGTAAAAAGTTAATAAATAATATTTAATCATTTTTGCATACCAATTTTTGTTTGTTCTGATCTTTGAAATCGATTTTCTAAAAATTCATGAATATATTAATTCTGTATGTTACGATGACTGAAATTAAAACTGATTGAAAACAAAAAAAAAAAAAAAGAAAAGAAAAGAAAAGGAATAGAAAAATTGTAATAAATAAAATATTAAGGTGGAACGAAACATAGAAGCAAAATTCTTTTTCGCGGTTCATAATTTTCAATAAACAAATAAGAATTATTTTCCATATAATAATATTTGTAGAACTAAAATCTAATAAAATTTTGCAAAGTGTCATAAAATCTATAAATGATTATTTTCATTGATTTTAATCCATTTTTTTTTAATAATTAACAATAATTTAGTTCTTGTTAAAAATAAATTTTAAAAAATTTTAAATGAAAATATATGAATTAGATTTAGAATAAGACAAAAATTTGAAATAAAAAAGATTTAGAATTAAAAAAAATAAATAAAAAAAAACAAAAGAAAAAAATTTCAAAATTCTCGCGACACTTCAAAAATTAACTTTACAAAAAATTTTGCATATTAAATCTAAAAGGTGAAACGATTTTTTATAAAAAATAATCGTACAATTTTAATATTTTCGTTCTACCTTAATACGTATACAAAGTATTCACTCATGATTTTTCAGCTTGTATGCAATGATGTAATGAAAAAACAATTTCCAAATATTGTAAACTTACTTGATGAATAAGAATGGAAAATTTCTATTATTTTGCTCGTATTAACTTTTTATACAATATTATAGAAATAAATTATATGATTCATTTATATATATTTAAATTTACAATAATTATCATATTTAAATTTACGATAATTTGTACTTACTGTAAATAAAATAAAATAAAATAAAAATGTTCCTGAAATTTTTATTATTCTTATATTGCATATTATCTATAAGTAAATTTTTATTATCTATTAAAATTTTTTTTCGAATTGTGATATACGGCTGAAAAATTGACACAAATAATAATGTGAACACCCTGTATATATTTATATGTTTCAACTAATTTTTATGTCATATGAAATATTATTTCAAATATTTGAAATTTTATAAAAATATTGCACGTATTGGTTGTTTGTAAATAGTAGAATAAATTTATTTTTTTAATGACAAATTTATTCTAATTTGTAATAATGAAAAGATTTAATATGATTCATTTGTACAATCTTAGTGATTTTTAGATAAGAATTTACTACTGTATATAATTGATTTTCTTTTTAAAATGATCATAGAAAATAAAAATATTTTAAAATTTTTACTTTTTTGATATATAGCAAATTACATAATTACATAATTTCATATAAAATATTTTTATGAAATTTTATACATAACAAAAATATTTCAAATGACAAAATTAAATGAGACATTTTGTACTACATAAAAAAAAAAAAAAAAAAAAAAAAAAAAGAAAAAAAAAAGGAAAAAAAAAAAGAAAAGAATAAAAAGTGCATTCTCTCTTGCTCCTTGTCGTAATCAGGACGAGATGTCTGGGGTTAAATTATCTAGAATTTTCTTCGTATATTATATGATTGTATCCTAAAACATGAAAACCGCAAGTATGATTGGTCTTCTATCTGCAACATCATCTAAACTAGCCTACGGAGCATATGTTAAAAAAAAAAAATAAAAAAAAAAAGAAGAAAAAATAATAAATATATAAATATATTATATATAAATAATATGTTTTAAATGGAATGTTGCGAACATCGTTTTTTCTTATTTCTATCGTTCTACGAGAAGAATCATCGACGAGTCTTAACATCGAATGACTCTTACCTCTTTTAAAAATATATGTGATAAAAAATACATATGAATAGTGTTCGCAATCAATTGCATCGTATATAAACGAAACAGAGAGAAAGAGAGAGAGATAGGCAGAGATAAAAATTAAAAAAAAAAAAAATTATTAAAAAGAATAATAATAAAAAAAAATTAGGCATGATGTATCGTCACAACATTTGAGAAACTTCTACCCTGCTTAAGATGGTGGAAACGTGATGTCAGGGCAGCCCACCCTCGCGCGAATTTTCTTGATTCGTATCTAAAGAGTGCTTGGAAGCCATGCTGTTCTAAAATAGGACGGCGAGTGGACAATGGACAACTAAGGACTGAGGCGAATAGAAACGAAAAAATGAAAAGAGAGAGAGAAAGATTAAGACTTAGATAAATAGATAGATAGATAGATAGAATAAAAAGAAACAAAATAAAAAGAAAGGAAGAAAATTGAAAGAAAATCACAGAATAAACATTGTAAAGTTTTGATCTTGTTTCATATCGTTGTATCGATTTTTCTTCATTTATTTTATTCGAAAATCGAAACAATGTTGAAGGAAACAAGGTTTTTATAGTCTGACCTCGAACAATAAGGGATTCAAAGACAAAGATAAAGACGTATGAGTATGTAAAGATGTAGGAAGAGGGATCAGAAAAGGAAAAAGGAAATCTTTTGCGAAGCTGTGAAAATAAGCGAAAGCAAGTGAGTACGTAGCATATACGTACTATAGAGGTCGGTTTTGTTATTACCATACCTTTCGCTGGTTGGAACGGATCAAATTACATAACTTGGCATCGATTTATATTTTTATAGAAGCGTTTACAACGTGTTCTTTATGGTTAAAATATACATAGTTAAAATAGTATAAGTTGGATCAAAAATTGAAATTCAAGCCGAACATTTATGTAATATATAATAAACATTGGATAATTGTTGAAATAATCTATGACGTAAATGTATTAAAATTATTTAATAGTCATCTCCATTATTGAAAAAGAATTTCCTTTGATATATCATAAACTTATCGATATATTTATTTTGATGCTTATTTTTTTTTTTTTTTATTTTTCTGCCTCTTTTTCTGTGTTGACAAAATACAAAGAATTAAATTTCAGTACTATTCCATATAATGTGCATGAATTTGAATTTTTGGGAATTCATCCAATATTTGGACGATCCTTTTTCACGATCTATCGTCATTGTATGATAGATATTGATTGCATATACATATAAGATTAAATATTCAGATTATTATCTAAACAATGTTATTGATTTTGTATTTATATTGTGCGATAATATCCATTATACACTATAGTGTCATAATTGTGTTGTTGTAAAAGAGGCTTTATTGTATTGGAAGTTTTAATTTTAATATGATTCGACCAAATTTTGAAATTTCCTTTATATTTACTAAACATAGATAGTAGATAAAAAGAGTCAAAATAAATATATCGTCTATGCCAAAGGATATTTTTCTTACAATTAATGGGCATGAATAATGGACATTTATGTAAGTAGATTTTTATAATTATCCAAATTTTACTATATATACACATATTAACTTTTGTTTTGGATATTGCTGAGAATAATGTAAAAAATAAATTGAACAGAAATTGATAAATTTTACTAGACTCGCGATGAATTGAAATTAATACAGAGTGGCAATAAATTCCTAATCTTTAATTCTGCAATGGTTTTTAAAATTTTGTAATACAATCAGTGTCTTGTTTTATTACAAATTTTTGTTGTAATTTCTCATAAAAATAAATTTAGAATATAACTTTATAAAAAATTGTTAAAAATAAACACAAGTACATAAATATTATACTCTTTTCTACTGCTTAACACTATTTCTATCTCATTTCAATATAAATTTAAATTGTTTGTAACTTAATAAATAAACTTCAATTGACATTTTTGTATCAAGTTTTGTGTTTAGCTTGATTTTCTTCAATTCTCCAAAAGTTTTCCATGAATACATATATATATATATAGAATGTCCTATAACATAGTCGTACCTTTAGAATTTTGAAAGCAAAAACAAATACATAGTTAAAAATATAAAAAAATAGTTAGTGTACACAATTTTTTTTATTTTTTATTAAATTGTAAGCAATTAATTTATGTTAAATGAAATGAGACAGTTGTGTAACAAAAATGAGCATAACATTCATATGTTTGCATTCACTTTTAATAATTTTGCAAACGTTTTTCAAGAAATAAATATTTCGTATTTTGTTTCTTACACCTTTAAAAGTTTTGCAAGAATTTCTAAGCCGTGTTATTTTCAAATGTTTTTCACCCTTAATTCAATTTTCACCTTTCTTTCATCAATTCTTAATTTTACACTACAATATAAATAACTATAATTTGAATAATATTTATTAATATAAATATTTGTATATAATTATATTATATATAATTTTTCCTAAAATTTAAAATTATTATTTTTTAATTAATAATTTAATTAAAATTGTTTTGCATCATCCATGACCCAATGATATGATATGAATCGAAGATTAATAATTTTTCGACGAAAAAGACACATAATTGAATTGAAAACATAAAAACCATAGCAGATTAATTTACAGCTTCGTCATAGTTGCGTGGACGTGAGATACAAGAGCAAGCACGGTGAAATTTGACCGTGGCGAAACACGATTAGGAGCGTGGAATGGAAAGCAAGTGCACATATAAAAGGTGGACCATGCAACTGGGACAAGTCATACCTCTTTTCTGGTTGCTGTTAAAAAAATGTTAAAAGGAAAAATATGAATGATTCAAAGAGGACTTTTCACGACTGTAATCTTTTCGCAAGTATAACGAGGTGCGTATACATCTTGCATAATTTTTTTTTTTTTAGTAGAATTGTATATTTTTTTGCATATGAAATGTATGATTTTCTTATTCCGTATAAAAAATTATTGGATATTTGTAAAATATTTTTATAAATATTTTATATTTATTAATAATTTTTTTTTTATAATTCATACGATTATTCCGTGTAATAATTAATTAGAAATCAAATTTTTTGATAATGAACATTTTTATTAATGAAAGAATTTATTTAAAATATATTTTATAATTATTTTTTAATTATATTATATATAGAATTACGATTTGTAATTTTATATTATGTCGATTAAGAAAAATTGTGCAACTAAGTAATGTATACGCATCCTTAGATTTATGCAAAATATAATTCTGAAAAGGTCTCTTTCAACTATTCATCTTTTTCTTGCAATATTTTTCTTTAATTGCAACCAGAAAAAAATTTTGTCCTAGTTACATAGACCATTTTGTATATATGCTTCTGGTCATTTTAAATATTTTGCGCTCTAATAAATTAATGATGATGATTAAGTTAACCCCTTAACGATAATATTTAAAATGCGAAAAAGAATGAATTTTTTTTCTTTTTGTAAAAAAGAATGCACATTAATTCTTATTTTTTAAATTATTAAAACTCTTTACATTTTTTATAATTTTTTATTTGATTTTAAATCATTCCAAGCGATTGAAAAAATTTTAATTCTGTAATCACAAATTTTTCCAATTAGATATTAAATTTTATAATGATTATATTTAGAAATATTATTTTTAAATTTCCAAAATAATTTCATCTGAAAAGATACTTTATAAGAATTCACGAAAATTTAATTTTCTTAATTTCATTTCAAAAAATAATAATAATATAAAAATTTAAATTAAATTCCTCTTCACGAAAAATTTAATCCAATAAAGTGCATGTAATTATTCATCATGAATTTATCATCATCAGGGGGTTATTTCTTTCACAAAAAAATCTAAATTCATCTTACTTATTAATTTAACAAAATATACTTTCAGAAAAAGGGATTACAAGGATCGAGAAGGCGTATCAGAAATAAAGGACTTCCGATCAGACTTTATCGAAAAGAACGTAAACAAGAGAAATCATAGATATCTCAGAAACAAGAAAGCCAAGAATAAAATCGTGTCTGTAAGCTGAGAAAGAAAAAAGACAGAGAGAAAGAGAGAATAATATAATAGATAGAACAGAAAAATAAAGAAGAGAAGAGAGAGAGAAAAAATGATATATATTTTATATCAGGCAGATATAAATTTAGAAACTTATAAAAACAGAAATAGATAGTTAAAGAGATAGAAAGAATGTATCATAGATGGCAGTGGGATTGTGTAGAGAAATAGAGAAAGAGAGAGATTTAAGCGCAATGTATTAAGTAATATACCTATGTAAATCTACCTTTTCTCGTGCCACGCATGCATACTGCTCTTTGTTTTGTTGTACAAAACGCTTATTGTTCACGTCGTGGTTGTCCAAGACCAACCCGCCCCCAATTAGATCAGCTATAGCGTGTCTCCCGTGGAGTGACATACTTCGCAAGGAAAAGAAACGGAAGTAGACAGAGAACGCAAATATAGAAAACAAGACGTAGAAAACAAACGTAAAAAAAAAAAAAAAAAAAAGAAAGAAGGAAACTAAATAGAAACGTATATAAACGAAAAGAATAAATAGAGAGAATAATATGTAGAAAGTTATTCGTGTTAAGTATTACAAGTTGTTTTCTTTGAAATTATTACAAATATTAATATGATTCTCGTTTTAATCAAATTAAACGTTATATAGAAAACAATTTTTAGAGTTTTAAAAAATTTTACAGAGATGGAAGAAATCGTTAACTTTATTATAAACGAAAAATAATATATTAATTCTTTATTATTTCAATAGTTGCCTTTGAATACATAATAACATTTACTTGAAATATTTTATTTTGTTTTCATAATTCGAAAGTTGGAATGAAAAATATCCTGAATAAAAGAATGTAGAGAAAAAAAATTTACGTAGATTGGAAACATTTGGCAACGTAAATTCCTTTCCATATATTTTAAGAAGAATATTCTTCACTACAAAACTATCTATACGCAAAACGGAAAAAAATGTTTTAAGTAAATTTTATTAGATCCGATGGCAACTTATCTAAATAACAAAAAATTAATATGTCATTCTAAGTAAAAAAAAAAAAAAAATAATTTTTCTATTTTCAACAAACTTTTTATACTGTGAAATGTTAATTTTTTTGAAATTATTATATATTTGGCATAAAAATTATAGAAGTCAATATCTGCAGCATTTTCAGAAAAATCAACTTGCAACAAAACACTTTGCAACAGAGTACTCTCTACAAGAATAATCAGAATTAAAAAACGGAGAAGGAAATGGCTAGAGATAAGTAACGTAAGTAAATAAATAAAGAAGGAAGTCGTCCGGGCCGCGTGTAATACGTGAAAGAGGCAAAATGAGCCGTGTGTGCAGTGAGACTTGTCGGCCACTTTTTCTCTCATTTACATTTTTTTTTATTCTTGTGAAGCGGATTTTCCGATTTGTATCTTTTTTTTAATATCGTTCATTTTTTTCTGTTTTTTTCTTTTTCCATTATTTGGTTTTTTTTTTTTTTTTTGCCATTCGCATCTCGAAATCGAAAATCGTGGAAGTCGGGCTCCGTGTCAATCGTCGGTTGTCGAAAAGCGCAGAGAAACAGAAGGCAGGACAGATGGTGAGACACGATACACGCCATCTTGATTGAAGTTTTATTTACATTGAATTTTTGTATCGATCGTTTCTAAAATTTCCTACAATGCACTGGAAAAATTGTGGATATTTTATTTTGCATTTGTAAATTTATACATTTTATGAAATTCAAGTCAAAAGTCAAAATTCTTGAAACTTTTGAAGAATATGATGAAGAATAGTTTTAAAAATTTTTGAAAGAAATCGTGAGTCTTTGAAATTTCTAAAATTTTGATCTATGTTGAAAGTTTGGTGGGAAAGTACTTGTGAAAACTTGATATTGAATACTCATCAAGACTTTCAAGAAACCTATCAAGATTTTTGAGATCCATCAGGATTAATGAAAACTTTGAAAACTCTTCGAAACTTTGAAAACTCCACAATTCAACACTTTCACAACACATCATGATTTCCAAAACTCATCAAAACTTTCAACTATTCACTTTTTCCAAATGATCATAATTTTTATAATTCTTACTGAGAAACTTTAAGAATTTTCTAAAAAAAAAAAAAAAAAAAAAAAATTCCATATTTACATTCTCAGTGAAATTACAAAGGAACGAACAATAAAAACTCGTAGTACGGAAATTAGGAAAACTTCAGAGGAAACTTTCTTCATCCGTAAATAAAGAATTCCACGCGCTCGTTTGTCCAGCCAAGATAAGAGATCCTTCCTTCATCCCTCCAGCGAGTTTCTTTGTGCATTTCTTCCTTTTTTTTCTATTTTTTTCTTTTCTTTTTCTTTCTTTTCCTTTTTTTTTTTTTTTTTTTAATTTTTTCAGCAGCCAGACACG